TCGATCAGAAGTCTGCTCTTTGGATAATTCTTCTTTGTCAAGTGGATGAAAATAGATGACAAAGTCTTGCATTACAAACGGAGAGTTTCACGTACAGATGTGATGATCCCTCTCATTGCATGTGTTGACTTGTGTTAGTTTTTAAAGCTAAAACCAGATCAAGCTATGCTTCACTCCCCATTTCGATGACATCTGATTTCCAGAAATTTGGCTCTAAGACATTTCATAGAAATTCGAACGCTTTCAAAACAGTTATGACATTGTGAAAGTCAACTGTGTGACCTTATATCCGACTCTTTGAAGCTATCAAAGTCTTTAACAAGCTTTTATCAACTATTTTTCAAAATATATGGTCACTGGGTCAACTTTGATAGGATTCATGAATGATTCGATTAAGTTTAATAGTGAATGAAAATGTTTTTTCATGTTTATGCAAGTAAAAGGACTAACGAATTAAGAGGACAAATTAAGGGTATGCTTTATCTATCCCACCTGTCCTTTGGTCAACAGTCTTCATGTACGACTACAAATAAAGTTCATGACGAAGACTAAAATCAGGTCATATAAACACTCATATTAAAAGAGGAAAGTTTTATCAGTGCTGTCGTCAGGTAATTGATAAACATAAGACACAAAATTTGTTTCTCACGATCTTAAGGTCATAACCGTAGAATGTTACATTATTATCTGTGTGACGGTTCGGACTCTCAAAGTTGCTACTGATCTCTACGGGACATTTCCTAGCCTTGAGCTTATAAAATTACGTTTTGGTGGTAAAGTTTTGCCGGAATTTGCTTTCCTCTTCATTCCTCCTAGTGTCTTGTAAATACTCTGTCTTAGAAAAGGTGTTGACTAGGACTTTCCTGGATAAGGTTTCGGAAGCAAGTTAGTCACCTTTTTACACTTGGTTACTTTGAGGAATTTTCGAGACAGCTAAATCTTGGTTGCTACCACGCTTAACAGAATATGCAAAATGAATGGGAGAGGGATCCATATAAGAAAAGCTGAGGGTTTTTAGGTAAGTGTAATGGCCACCTGTCCACTGTTCACTAGATGCTCGCTGGTGCTGAGTAAGATTCAGACAAGGAAATTTGTGCACTTCGTCCTATTTTGTACTGGTCAGCGGGAAGAATTCATCTTCAAGTGAGCGGTTTTGTGCCCACCGAGGCTCGAATTCATTATCTATCGCCTCAAAAGTACACAGCGTCATAACGATGATGAGTGGAAGCTTAAATCTACAACATCAATGTGTAAGCTTTGCGAGGAGATTGACTATAATAACTCATTAGCCTAATGGATCTCACTGTGGCACTTGAAGTGAGGAGTGCTGCATTTCAGTCCCAGCGGGAAGAACATCCTTCACTAGGGGGCAGGTGCATCCAACTAACAAGTTCCACGTAGAAAGAAACGCACGTTCTGGATTCCTCTACTAGGCACTACCCATGACTACCACCGAAACGAAATTACCGAAAGTATCAAGACATCTGCAAAGAGAGCACACTGAGCCTTATTGTGCACATCCGTTCAGTAGGCAAGAGCCACACCCATTGTATAAGTGCTAGTGATACTACCTAGCCACCCAAACCTCGGTAGGCGGGGTAGGGTTCGAACCTGTGACCCGTTGAATGAGTCATCTCTCTAAGTCATGGAGCTATAGTTCCACTGAAGACATCTGCCTAATGGCCAGTATGTCGATTGTGGGTGATTAATTCAATCCACTCAACGACGAGAAAACATAAGGTAATTTTGAAACAGTTAGTCATTTTTCATGAATTTTTACAACATGATGAAGAAGACTCTTTGTTGCAAATCATCTCCTCTCTTCCGTTACCATATCTACTGGTGTAATACTACTTTTGAAGTTGTAGACTCTTGAATAATCTTGACTAGGCTTTCAAAACAATCTTTTCAGCTGCAAAAATATGCCTCCACTCTCATATTGTGTTTGGATTATTTTGTTCGCCTCCTGAAACCACAACTTACTCAAAGGAAAGCCATAGACTAACATTTTTGAATCAAATTCAAGTTTAAATGAACAAAAAGAACATTCTGAAGTCAAATTTCTATCGATAATTGAAAGAATTAACTTGTGTCATCATCTACACACTCCATGATAGACCATTGAAAACGAAATTTATCATGTTCAAGCCATTGTGAATCATCAAAGTTAAGGCGAGTCGTGTTAATACCATAGTTATCCACGTTATTCAGAATAACTAGAGAAACGGCGATGAATTCTTGCTGATTACATGCATCTGTATATTTTTAAATTAGTCGTAGTGATACCTAAAGTTCCTTGGTTTTGGTCCCTGGAGCAATTATGGGTAAGCATTGCTGAGGAGTCCTATGCTCAGATAAGAAAGCTGTTTAGTGCTTGATAGTTTTTCACTGTTCCTCTAAACGATATCAGCTTGTGACGAATACCAACTTAAAATAACAAGAGGATAATGGGTATTCTGGACACATAGTATTGTAAACAGCTTTTGCAGTTGATTTTGAAGATTAGATTTATGCTATTTTCGTTTCGCAAAGGATCTTTGAGCTTGCATAACATACTGAGTACTAACTTCGTTAGTTTGTATGTCAGTTTGTTCCCTTATAAATGGAACAACCAGTTGACAGTTTCTCAGGCATCCTTGATGTAGGGTAGAATAACGCAGTTAATAATTTAATGTGAATGCACTGTCATATGTTATGATGATAAACACTTTTTGAGTGTTGAGTGATTAGTCACTGGCTTTGAGAATTCTGCAGAAGTAATTTTCTTCTGCATTCCATGGAATGTATTGCCGTGTGTTTGCATTCAACATTTTTTATGGGCTATGTAAGAAGCTGTTGAAGTTCAAAATCTGATCGGTTTTGTGTGTGTGTGTGTGTGATTTTCCTGTAAACGTGTGTTTGCAAAGTCTCTTCCCACGTCTGCTGGTGAGGGCATCTAAGCACGTGACTTTGTGGCTGGTTTCCCTCTCCTAAGTGGAATAAATTTCTTGAAGTGTTTGATTTGATCATGATAAATTTTCATACCAACTTTGACAATAAAACTAGGTAAGGTTCATAAAAGAAGTTTTAAGTGCAATTTGTTTTGGTATTCACAAAGTAGGTATGAACTTTCGTATACTTAAGGGTTCATTAAGCCTAAATATACGTTCCTGACGACTTCTATACAGTAATGAGAAGGCTTTTTAAAGACCGATCCAATGACTTGCTTTGATGTCCTTAAATCAAAGATGATGTTTGTCTTCCTTGTGTGCCTGTCTGATGATTCGAATGTAGAGGTTTCCCTAACCACCTGGGAATATGCTCTATCACCCTCGGTTTCATAGTTCACCTGCTCCCAAAGTATATATTCACCACATATACATATAAACTGGTAAAACAAAAGAATGTGGTGTACTCAACTATGTAATGAAGGGGTTTATATTGGAACGTATCTTTTGATTGGTTACATAACACGTTCTCTAAGCAGCTGAGTTGATCCTTCATCTTAACTTAGTACGTTTTGACTTTCTTCTATACGACAAAATGCTGCGTTGAATAGTTTTTGCCTCAACTGATGAATTTCGAAATATGTGCATATTACTAAAATATCATAAACCTATCTTCTGTACACAGAGGCTTTACTGATTAAATTCATAGCCAGAATGTCTGCTTGTGACACATAGACATAAGTTCAACATGCTGAGAATTTTCACATTCCAGGGCAAAGTTAACCCTACCAATGCATAGTAGCATTAACTCCACCAGATATGTCGGAGAAATGAGGAATGTAGGATTATCTAAGAATATATATTATCATAAAGGATATTGGCAGTTTTAATTAAAGGTATATTGGCAGATACAGAGTTTACATTCGGAGAATATATTGTATTATCCATGATATTGATGTCACTTAGTTGGTCAATAAAGTTAAAAGTGTCGGCGATAACCTACAGGATAGGTTTCTTATCGTAATTAAAACTTAAACTGGCCGTTTAGCCAGTTTTGTGCACGGAAGCGAATCAGAGAGTAATGAGTGTGATTTAACATTTGCTTTGTGTATCTAGAGTAAATCACATAAACCTGAATCTTCGCATCCTACAAGTTTTAGGGTATTACATTCCTCTTTACAGACTGTACTAGATCCTTTATCAGGTTTTAGAATGAAAATGTCTGTAACGTAGTCCTTTAAATTCATTGAGACATTTTGACGTCAGGATAGTTCTCAGTTTGAAACCAGAGCTATTGGATTAATGAACAATTTCAATAAATTTAACTTTCAACCAGCTACAATTATCAGAAGGTGAAACAAATGAACTCAGTTGGTCATAATAATCTAATCATCACCCAGTATAATAATATTTAACTTAAGCATAAGTCACGCATTTGAACGTTTTGCTATGAAGGACACAAAAGTGAATTACAAAAGATATAACTTTTCTTTCGATAACAGACAGCTGAATAAATGAAAGATTTTTTGTATATTTATCTGAAGTGATCTTAAATAGGACTTATGGTTATCATTCAAATGAGACTTGGATAATTTATGCATCAAATTCTCTACTGTTCATTTTTAGTGAGAGAATTGCTAACTCAAATGAATTTAGATTCACACATGAGTTAGATTACTGAGAATACAAATTATGCATGTGTATGAAGTCCCATTAATTCGTTCAACTTTTCACTGGAATTATCCACATATAATTTAAAAGGAACCAATGATTTATACAATTATCTGAAAAATATGTGATTTGTAACATAAAATTTTAAAATTTCCATTTTCACCTTGTGAAATATGCCTTAAAACCTTAGGATGACTAGTTCGTCTGACCTTGCAATAGTCTGTGACAGTAGTTTTTACTCCAAGAATTTAAAACAGTTAGTTCCTTCGATGAACTAAACCAAGAAGCAAAGAAGCAACTACAACAAAAAAATGTCTCCAGATTGACCACCTTCATTAGAATTCAAGTATAATTTTTTCTGTTCTGTGTCTCGATACCTTTTTATTTTATTTTATTTTTCAGAGATTAACAGGGATTTTATTTTTCCGGTATCATTCATCGGAGATTGATATCAGTTGGACAACCGTTGAAAATCTGGGAGCATTACTGTAAAGTGCCCTCTATTGACATCCATGGAGATGGATATACTAAAATGGTAGTGAGAAACCATGACCTGTAATATCAACCAATCGAAAACGAAGCGGATACCAACTGAAGACCTTGATGTATAGTCGTACTACATCCCCAAATGACAATATTAGCAATTCATTAGTTCACGCCTGATATCTGTGTTCAGAAGAAACAAGTAGACTTACCAATTTAGTCTTACCCTCGACTTCCTCCACTTCATCTTGTCATTTTTATCGCTAGTAATTACTCCGTTATCTCCATCTTGACGATTCCTCATTTTCTTCTTTATCTTCTTGTCAGCTGTCAAGTAGACATGTAAATATGAAATTTCATTTCCGGAGCCAATTCAAACCTTGTTAAGTATTTTGCTTTTAGTCACCATTACTTTCATCTTGTTTATTATAGTGTAGTCATTCCCACGTATACGCTTTTTTTGAAGCAAAGTAACTATTTGTTTAAAGCCATTAACTGAGATATGATTTTGTTACTTGATAATGCTATTAGGCGATCCACAACTTTTACGGCAGTAAATTTGACTTTGAACGGAATAAATGACATCTGTCTATGTGTATGAATGTTGGTTGGGGTGTAGTTTAGCATTTCTTCAGATAAACTACAAATAATATTAATGCGTTCAACAAATGTTGGTGTGATAAAATAATCGATCAGTAGCTAAGGCATTCCCAGCTGCCTAGTTTAAATGTTGGACGCTTTCTAACATCCTGATAGGAAGCTTATAGTATCTGTGCCTTACTACATACGTTAGGATAGAATAGGCATTTAAATTTTGCCGCATATAAAAAATGTGAAGTTTTTTATGTGATATAATATTAAAAGTCAGTTAGATTCAATAAAAATGTCAAAAAATTCAGACTTATGCGGCTCATAAATCAAATGACATACAGCAATAATGTACGTGGTGATTTTCATCTAGTACCGATCAGTTAGCAGGGAATGCGTTGAATCCACAGCTGACCTTGAGATGTCAAAATCATTTGATTGGTGGATTACAAAATTATTATTATCATACTGATTAGGAAATAAGACACACAACAACCGAAAAATGCTTAGTTTCATGAAAAATAATTTATTGACAATAAATTATAAGAAACAAATAATTTATATTCTCTCTAAATGGATAATTTTGACAGACATAATGAGAATTTAATTTAGATGAGCTTCCTTGTACAGTCTGGTAAATTGTGATATAATTTCACTTGGTAAAAACAACAAGCTTACATTTTTTTGAACTAATAGGTGACCGAATGTCGATTATTATCTCGTTATCTAGTCAACAGATCTAAACAACTCTTATCAAAAAGGGTTTGGGAGTGCAGTCATTCTGTTAATTGACTTGACATTGCAGTACGTTGTCTGTTATGCTGGATGGTATGATGTGATCGACATATTGTCATCTTTAACTAAGACTTTGTGTCTAAAAGCATTTATAGACAAACTGTCTGTTACCTTATTAATGATCTCCTGGCGAATAGAAGCTGCATACGCATTGGTCACCAGTGGGCATACCATGTAGATGTCTTATCCCTAAAGCTGAGTGTTTATTGCAGTCTATCAAACAAGTTTTCAAAACAGTCCCACAGCTAAGTAATGCAATACTGTGGTATACTATATTTTTATCCTGGATGTTCGGAGGGAATCGGTACGAAATCCTAGACATACGTTTCATGCTTCTTGTCACCCATTATAATGGCGTATCTGTAGTCATAATGAGACAGATATTTTCAAGCTGATTCGAACTTTTATCACTCATTGCTAAAGTCAAAGACTTTACTAGAGAGCCACTCAGACCACTACTTTGTGCAGGACAGGATCAGGAACAATCAGGAATATCGTCACCTAACACCCTCAGATAGGTTGTGTTCATATACGACTGAATAAAATTCACAAATACAGTCAATAGTATTCAGCCAGCAGTGAGAACAGAAAAATATGATGATGGTCGCTAACGGATGATCGATTTTCTGACTTCATCCGGTAATGTAGGAGAATTACTACAAACTTACTTTGAATTTAATACGGGGTAATGAAGACAGGAATGTTTCCATTCATCCAGGTAAAGAATACACGTAATTGATAGTTAGTAATAAAGAGAAGACAACAAAGGCTGCAAAGAACTTCAGTAATGTACTACTATGAGTAGAAGATTGTTTTTAGACAAGTTAAACAGCATTTCAATGGAAGGAGGGATCACTTTCGATAATGTTACACAAAGTCTGAAGGGTTCTACATGCATTGAACATAGAATGGTTGTGAGATACCATCAAAGATTGCCTTCGAGTAAAGTATATTTGTTCACGCACACTGTTCTGTTTCTGTTGGGTGATAATGAATGAATATGAAGGCAAATTCAAATCGTAACAGGGTAGAAACCAGTGGTGTCATAACTACAACCCAAGTGTTCAACGGACTGAAACATAACAGTCAGCTACTAACCATGTATCATTTTCACTCCAGCCATTGACAACTCCACTAGGTTTTTTTATTTTCATTCAGTGACTAATTTTCTGGCTTCATTATGCGAACTCAGCAGAAATTTTGACAAACATTTATTGAATGTACTTTGTCCATCAAGTGATTAAGGCAAGGAAAGGCAGATCAGAAAAGAAAATTATGTTTCTCGACAACGTCATTTTCAAAGCCTTTACAATTGCATGCATGCGTATATATATATATATATATATATATATATATATATATATAACAGTATATTACAGAATAATGGTGTTTTGATGTATCACCAATATATTACTTAACTCGGCTTTTGTTCATCGAAAGAGATTACGCATTAATGAAGAAGAGAGTGATAGATAGGGAATATGAGAAGATGAAAGTTTTTCATAGGTTTGGTTCAACTAAAAAGTGCTAAGAAAGTACAAGAGCTAAAGAGAAATCATAAGCAAGCTAATAATGTAGAATTAATTAATCCTTATCAGTCGAAACAACAAAGCTTAATGACGGCCATGTCAGATCTAGGTTGAATTGATGAATCCGCAGTGCTTCCACCCTGCACAAGTTGTTAAATTGTACTTCTTTCTCATTATTTGCTTTGGATTTGTAGATAATCTCAAGGTTAGCCTATAGTGAAACCACACGACTAGAATTTACTAGGGGTCACCAGTTACTCTAGTGATAAATTTGCATTTTCCTCCATCTAGAAGGCTTGAAAGTGTTCTCGAACTGATATCAGTTCATGATGAACACTACCTTCAAATAAATAAATCCCCACAGTCCTCACATTGAAATTCTAGTAATTATCAAGTAGACTGAAGAACTTACGCTAAGGATGCGATATTACTACATATGGATTTTACTGATGTCGTGTTAAAATAGGCGATAAGCAGACGGATTAACATGTAATGTCACTTATTTAAATGAGATTTTAGCCATTTACTTCACTGAAGTGTTGGTTTGTGGACTAGATTGTGTTTCATTTTAGCGTTTCTTATACGACCTGTATGATATTAGAGGATGGGTTACCATTATTCGGTATATTCAGTCCTAACCGCACTGAAAACGCAGCGAAAGTGGGTGTGGCGTAATGGTCAACACTTAATCTTAAACGTTGCTGATAGTAAACTTCAAACGAGTGAACCCGATTACCTTACCGGTTCACTTAAGCATGAATCCTCAGAATTTAGTTCGCCCCACCCTCTTCCAATGTTTAACGCCTTTAATATTATCAACATTATTTACTTGGGATTTTTGTTACTGATTATTTCTTTTAATTTCTTGTAGCTTAACCAAAGCAGAAGACCAACAGTATAAAACGACTAGTTCAAACAGTTCTCGTCTGTCTACTCCTTCATGCATATGTAATACTCCATACATATGTTCACCAACCAGGTTGTGGTGGTGAAAATGCTACAGGCTATTTGAAAACACTAAACAGAAAAGTGATGCTGATAAATTATAAAATACGTTTTCCAATTGCCCAATACTGGCAATGAGACTGAAATATCAACTGCCTGAACTGACCACTTCCTGGTTTGTTTATCTTTTCAAGTGTCCTTGTGGAGCCAGTTATGACGTTCACTGCTCCGGAAATTTTAGTTTCCTCGCTCACGAACATCTCCTGGCGTAGTTAAGCGAAAGTATGATAAAGACCAATAATAGCTTTATTTTAGTATACTTCGTTCACAAGAGTACGTCATTTTCCACTATTTGTTGGTTTCCTATCAACTTGCTTAAAGTCATTCAGCTCGAAATGCTTAAAACTACAAAAGCTGTGATAATCCGCATCAAAAGCCATAAAAAGCAGGTGTTACTGCTACAACAACCCTGACCCTGTTCAAGATTCCCATATGCCTTAGAATTCTATCACATGTAACGTAATTTTCAACATTCCAGATATCTCCTATTCTCCATAATCTGAAATAATTTAACCACATTCTTTTGACTTATTTTGTTCCTTAAAATAAATAACGTTTCGCTATTGCATCTAGCTTCCACCTTCCCTTCCTATTGTTTTATTAAAGGGTCACCTTATAGGTTAGAATTCGTCATGAACTGTCATCAGTTGAGGGAACAGTGGAGACCTGGGAGCACTAAGCAGCTGTTTCGTCCCAGTAAGAGACTCCTCAGCAGTGTACAACTATGACCATGTCAGGGGGTTGAACTTAGAACCTTCAGTTTTCGTGGCCAGCACGTTACCGTTGAGCCACTGGGTCGGAGTCTAATGGTTCATATCACCTTACCGTATTACATGTGCCATATAATCAATCGTTTATGTAATAGATTATTTTGAACTGAATTCCAGTAATAATTTATTTTGATATTAACTTTCATGCAAGAATTTCCTGAAGTGACTTGGACAGGGTTATGGGATTATTAACTGACTGTTAAATAAAACCTCGATACTGTTGACGAAAATTACACAAT